CTGGATAATTCTTGGTTTGGTTGAAAATTTCAGATCCGTATTTTACATAAAAGGCTTAAATTTTGATTTAATGCTTGTATATATCAGGTTTTTCCTAGAAAATTTGTAAGAAAATATGGAAATAACTTGCCAAGTTCTATAGTCCTTACGGTTCCTAGCTGTGCAAAATGGCAAGTAGAGCTGATCAAGAGTGATGGTGAGATTTGGTTACAAAATGGGTGGCAAGAATTTGTGGAGTATTATGCCCTTACGGTTGGGTCCTTGCTAGTTTTTGAGTATGATGAGAGAAATTGTCGTTTCAATGTGATCATATTTGATAAAAGTGCTTTAGAAATTAACTATCCATACACTGTCAATGTCGAGAATGAGGGGAAGGGGACTAATAATCCAGAAGAAGCTAAATATGATGTCTCCTATGAAAGCTTGGATGAAGTCTTGCCAAGCCGGAAAATAATGGAGGAATCACCATCTCCATTGCCTAATCCTCATAAGAATATGAAGCTAGAGAATCTCACATTGCCTGAGACTTGTAAAAAGATGAAATTAGAGAACCCCACGAGGAAAAATGAAGGTATGCTATGTGCACTAAATACCAGATTTTCCATCTTGTGGTTTGAAAGAAAGATCTCAAATTGTCATTTTTTAAGCATGTCTAGTTTTGATTTTTTATTTTTAACTGAAGGTTTAATTCTGCAGCAAAGAGAGGCAGTTGTGGTGAAAAACAAAAGTTCATTTGGAGGACGCAACCATTGACAAAAAATTACAAGGCTAATGCGCTTCATAGAGCAAGAACTGCTTTCAAATCTAAAAATCCATTTTTCATGGTTGTAATGCAGCCATCATATGTTCATGCAGGGAATAAAATGGTTAGTTTTAGTTCACTTGAAATTTCAGATAATATAAACTGTTGAATTAATGATATTTCATGTTTCTAACTTATCTTTTTGTCTTTACAATTCTTTTATATTTATTTTCCCTGCTGATTTTTTCCTGGTAAATGCTTGTGCAGTGGATCCCAGAAAGGTTCGCGAGGAGATATTTGAAGATCAAGCGGGGTGATGTCATTCTAATTGTTATGGGTGGAAGGACTTGGTCTATCATTTACCATTGCAACAACAAAACAAAACTAAATCCGAGATTATGTGGTGGGTGGACCAAATTCTCACATGATAATCATTTGGAAGTAGGTGATGTTTGTGTTTTTGAATTGGTTAATCCTGCAATAACAAAATTGAAAGTTGTCATTTTTCGATATAGCAAAGATGCAAGCGGCTCCCATCACTCGGTCAGTTTTCATTTTGAATGATTAATCCAATGGTTAATTTAATTTCTTTATCTGGGTTTGTTCCAAATACTGCAGACATTCAGAAAACAGAACTTACATGGTTTTAATTTGATATAACGCAGGTGAGGAGAGAAAAATTGAAACATGAGGAAGAAGAGAGTAGATGCAAACAAACTAAAAAAGCCTTCCATTGAAGATGAAAACAGATTCATGCACCACCCCCGCCGCTGCCGCCATCTGATTCCTTGCCTTCAGAGGCTGCAATATCCATGTGAGGTGGAGAAACTGAAATAGGCACTTTCTTTGTTTATTCTTGAGGAATTAACACTTGAGTTTAATTATTTTCTATGTTCTGCTTCAGATATTCCGTTGCGGATCATATCTGTACACATTCACCACCTAAGGTTATATGAACAATCAATTATAACCGGAATGGGATATTCTTTTGAAAAGTAAAAAATAAAAATAAAAATAAAAATAAAACAATTAAAGATAGATTTTTCTTACGTAAAATTAAAATCAAAATTTTTGCAAGTTTATATTAGAACTCGATATCTATTAATAGTTAGTATTAAGTGTATGTACAACCTGATAATATATTTAGGTTTGAATTTCCTTTCTCAATACTAAAAAAATTCAATTTAAATTATGATTCTAAATCATAAAACCCATTGCAGTATGATAAAAATCTGTTAGAATTATTAAATTTTGTTGTCGATAATAATAAGTAACTATTTTTTTTGAAAGGGATAATAATAAGTAACTATTATATTTACTAGTCTTTTATTTGTGTGATTATATATTTTTAAGCTTCATATAAAAAAAATTAATAAAATATCTAATATACAAAAGAAATTTACTGCCTAACTTTAATTTTAATTTCTACCTATTTAATCTACGCCTAAAATAATTAATGGATTAAAATTGGAATAATTGCAATTTTAGTGTGTGAATTTTGCAAATTTTTTTATTTTGGTGTATAAACGGAAAAAGTTAACAACTAAGTAAATAAATTTTTAATTTTTCAATAATTGAGTGTATTTTATATATGTAGACAGCAAAATCTCTATAGGACAGCCGAAAATTCTTGTGGGACGGTTGAGTCCTACTTGTTCCTGTGTTTTTTGCTTATCAAGCCCCAAATAAAATTTCAGGTGGATTGCCACATCGATTAAAAAAATAAATACGTAAGTGGGATCCACACGTGGAATTCTAAGTGGTAATTAATTAGCAAAATACATATAAATAAGAGGGACTCAGTCATCCCACAAGTATTTTGGGCTACCCACATGTACAAACTGCACTCAATTATTAAAAAATTAAAAATTTATTCACCAAATTATTAACTTTTTTAGTTCATACACTAAAATGAAAAATTTCGCAAAATTTATACAGCAAAATTGCAATTATCCCTTGTTAAATTCATTGAAAAAGCTATTGGTAGGAAAAAAAAAAAAATGTTAGTTATTATGGATTCTTCGGCCTATGCAACAGAGGTGCTAAGTAGAAGTTAGAGAAAAGAGCCCATTTGGAAAATCCAATTTCTTCGACTGAACTTGATTCAACATAACAATGAAGTTTTTTTATTTGTTCCACATAAATTTAATCTTTCTTTCTCTCCCTTTTAACCCAAAAAAAAAAAAGAAAAAAAAAAAAATATTTGTTCCACATAAATTTAATCTTTCTTTTCTCTCCCTGTTAACCCAAAAAAGAAAAAAAGAAAAAAAAAAAAAAGAAATTGAACTCTAATATATCTAAAAAAAAAAAAAGAAAAAAAAAAAAGAAATTGAACTCTATATATCTAATAATAATAAAGGAGCAATGTACAGCAAAAACATCATTACTAAATTTATGAATTGATCAAAATATTTTTTTAAAATTTTAATTTTATTGGTTAAAAACAATGATATTTTAATTAAGAACAAAATGTTATACATGGTTATTATTATCTTACTTTTATTAATGTAGAAATTAAGAAATCTATTAAATTACTTTTATCTTACAAGTATTGTATAATTTATCTATAAATTTAGAATTTTGTATTTTATATGAAAAAAAAAAATTTAAGAATTGGATTCTATGATTTCAATTTCATGGATTTGAATATAATTAAACCAAATTCTACCAAATAAACGTGTAATTTTCAAATGAATTGCACAAATTTAAACGATCAAAAAATTTATGACAATTTTTCATCCTCCTAAACTTTCTAAAATAATTATGCTGAGAATATTTTAGAAATAAAAGCAAATGAAATTTTAATTTTTAAATTTATTCAAACATGAAAATTCATTTACAAATAAATTTTATCTAAATTCATTTATAAATAAATTTTACATTTTGAGTTCATTTATACCAAACGAAATGTAATGATTAATTAAAGCCATATGAAATCTGATTACAAATATTAAATATTTATTTTATTTTATTCTATTATATAACACTTCTTCCATCCCAAAAAGATAGTCCATCTTTTCTTTTTAGTTTGTCCCGAGATATAGTCACTTTTCTTTTTTTGCATTATAGTTAATCTTTAAATTGTCTGCTATATCCTTATTAAATTTTATCTTATTAAATCTTTCATCAATTCTTTCTTATTATTCTAATATAATAATTATTCATGCGTTATTTAATATGGGCATAATAGAAAAGTTATATAAATAAAATTGTACTTTAACTATAATACTTGTTATTTCTTAATCTGCATGAAAGTAGAAAGTGGATTATTTTTTTAAGAGTGGGGAGAGTATATGTTTGAATTTGGATGCCATGATATGTTTGAATTTAAACAGCCAGATAATGGTATGAAAACAACAAATGCAATAAGGATGTCATTAAATCATGAATGCATTATTACATTAAAAAAAATATTACTCAATTATAAATCATATTAAAGTATTAAGTAATATTTGAACTAATAGGGAATCTTAATATTAAAACTTGAAAAAGACAAATATTTTAGTTCTGACTTATTTACTATGCAAGTTATTATTATGAAAATGACTAATATTTAAGTTATTATTTTACTCCAATGAAGAAATCTAAGTATTAACATTTTACGATGATAATAAAAGATTAATTATTTAAAGATAATTAGGAATTTTTATTGTTAAAAATTAATAATTTAAATCACTGAGTGAATGAGCTTAAACAACGTGCATCGCACGCTAAAAAAAATTACAATTAGGTATCTTTTTAACATAGCTAACACATTGTATAAAAAAATAAAATTTTTCTCGATCACTCATTTATATTTACAATTAGGTATCTTTCTATTAGATTGGACATATTCAGAAGATTGCATTCAGTAAGAATTTTCCGATCCTTATCTCCAAAAATGAAAAAGAAAGCATTTTTATTTATTTTGTAGGCAAAATTAACATAAGAAATACCAATTTATATAAGAAAAGCCCTAAATTCTCAATATTCTTAGAGCAGAAATAAGGAAAACCACAGAGATTAGATGAAAAATAAAGTAAATGTGCAATCTCAATTTCTAAAGTTCACATATACAATGAACATTCAACCATCAAAATTAGAGTCAAATTTTCTAATTGGGAACCACACAAAATAGATTTATATATAGTAACAATACAGATTCTAGAGTTTGGGATACTAATCGGAGGAAACAAAAGAATCAGAACAAACACAATGTTGGAAGCCACAAATAATTTTATAAGGACCAGTGCCAATAATGTTATTAATGATCATTTTTATTATATACTTTGTTCTTTTAGAATAATATATCAATTTTAATAATATATCTTGTTGTTTGTTACGTAATTATTAAATCTTTTTATTTTATTATTTCATGAATACTCTTTGATTTTTAGTAATATAAACTATTATGTCAAGGCATTTTAGGAATCTAGTGTCTCCCCAATTCATACTTTATATATACTTGTTTTTTTTATGACGTGCCTTACACGTTTACTATGCTTGTTATATGATTGTACTCTTTTATTTTTTTAATCTATATAATATTAAAGTATAAGTTTTTTTTGTTTAGATTAAAATAAATACAATTACTTAATTAGAAATATATTTTTTTGTACAAGCTACTTATAATGGTATTTCTTATGTACATAATTCTATTTTTTTATAATGAAGTGATATTGAAATAAAATTTAACCTAATCTCTAGACATAATCTTTCAATCTCTAATTTATAAATGTAAATTCTTAAAACCTTAACGCTTTGTTTGTTTTGGTAAAACAACTTGCAGGAAAATATTTTTCACAATTTTCCATTGGCAGGACATTCAGGAAAATAAGTCTAAGGAAGATATTTTTCTGGTAAAAGGAAAATTAAGTCATTTTTTAAGAAAAATAACTTCCTATTTTTGAAAAAGTAAAATATTTTCCGGACATTGACAAACCTTATAAATCTATTTTTTTTTAAATTTATTAATCATTATAGTCACTACTAACAGCCATCACCATCGGCCACCGGTGGCTTTTATAATTTATATTTTTTTTTGCATTCTTCTCATATTTAATAATAAAATTTTTAAATTATAAATTTTTATTATTATTAATATTTTTGTGGTCTTGTGAGATAAAGACGTTAATATTTTTAACTAACATCACCAATCTGGCCACCGGTGGCTTTTATAATTTATATTTTTTTTTGCATTCTTCTCATATTTAATAAAATAAAATTTTTAAATTAATTTAATAATAAAATTTTTAAATTATAAATTTTTATTATTATTAATATTTTTGTGGTCTTGTGAGATAAAGACGTTAATATTTTTAACTAATTTTTAATATTACAACCAAACAATGGAAGATAAATCATTTGAAAAATATTTTTCAAGGAAAATATTTTCCATGCAAAATATTTTTCATCAAGTTATTTTCCTGCAAGTTATTTTATGGAAATAAACGGAGCATTATTAAGTATCCAAAAGAAAATTAAGACATCATTCAATCTCCAACCCTCTACCTTTAACCTCAAATCAATATCTATATGCAACTATAATGAAAAATAATAATAAATTATTTTTTTACTGCTAGGTAAAGAAAAGAAATGAAAAGATGATTTGAATTGATAATGATAATTACTTTGGCTATATTGACATGTTACTCATCCAGTTTATTGGAAAAAGGAAAATATGTACAAACACACAGATTCTTAAAGCCCCAAAAAGTGACCCAAAACAGAAATATATATTTTTAGTTTTTTTTTTCAGTTTCATAAACATTATTTTCTTTTAAGTCAAATAGATTTACAATATAATAAAAAATATCAAGAAAATAAAAAAATTTTAATCATCGAGAGGCCATCTATTTATTATAAGGGAGATATAAATCTCTTGCTGAATTAAAGTGTTACAAATTATTTCAGTAACGAAAAAGAAAATAAAAAAAATTGTTATTAAGAATATAACTCTTTTTAGAACTAAACATATAACAAGAAATAAATTATATT